CAACCTTGAGTTTTGTTTTCCCTTGTTTTGGAGAAGTCGTTCATCCCTGGGGATGAAAGATCAATCACACACTTTTAGACTGAATTTATTCTCCTAAAAGACCAATGGAATCTGATGTTTCTTGGGTCTAAGGTACCATGCACATCCTAAAATTAGATTTCTTTTTGAAAGGAAAAATGTGGAGGAAGGACAGGTGACAGTGTCCTAGAGTTGAGATAAAGAGCTACTTTGCTTGATGGGTTAGGAGGGGGTTAGGGAAGATTCCCTGTGTTTKATGAGGATGGCTGGACTTTCATTTACCTTGGGTTAGTGAGAACTACCTACCAATAGCACACAGCGAAAGTTAGGGTCGTAAAAGGATAGGGATTTAAGATCTCAGCCTGAGTGCCAAGGAGTGTCTCTGTGAAGGATCAGGGACTCTGAGGCTTGTGCAAATAGGGAAAACTTAGGCTGTTTGGCAGATTGAGTAATGGTGATGACTGACAGTGGCCTGAAGAAAGGAGCTTTTAAAATTTTTTGAGTAAGTCTCAGAGCTTCTTCACATTCCAAGTTCACCCAAAGTCACCTATTAATGTCSTTAGGGGTAAGATTGAAGAGGACATAATTGATTGGCAAATATAAAGAAATAGGCTGTTTCTCAGACCTTGAGTGTCAAGGAGCAATCTATAGCTATTACACCAGCCAAGTGCCAAGAATCTCTGCTACAAGAAATACTTCTTTGTCTCTGGAGTAGGCAAGTTATAATTTTTCATATCCAGCTGTCCCCTTTAATAGCCCAGATAACATGTTAAAAATATAGAATAATGGGACCCATTCCAGATGTACTGAATCAGAATATTGGTGTTAGAACAGGACAGCCATTTCTGTATTTTTCCTTTCCTGTCAGCCCTGTACTGATCTGCTAGTTAAGAACTCTTGCTCTGGTGATAAAACACAAGCCTTAGGTTCAGACAAGTCAGAATTTAAACGGAAGCTCTTCCACGGATGCTGGACAAGTTGCCTAAATTCTATGAGCTACAATTTTTTGGTGTGTTTAATGAGGATGAAAATACCTCCTTCTCTATTGTTTGGGGTGATTAAATGGCGTATTCTATTTGGAGTTTTCTTTTGGATCTTGATTTATTAACTCTCAGGGAAGGCTCCTACATCCCTCCACTCCTTCCTTGTTTCTGCTTGATTTCAGGACATCTGTCTATTCAGGTGGCCAAATGCCTGTGGAATTCCTGAGTTGGTCTACTTCTTTGGAGTCTAAACTAAAAGCTCCCTTCATCACAAACCTGTCCTTGGCTTCATCTGAAGTCATTCTTGATTCTGACTGGCAGGTCAGACTCTGAGAATGACACTTTTGAAATGACTGTGTGTCCTGATTGTCCCTCCACCAGAAGCCAACTTGGAGATAGCATGAGTGAAGATGATTAAAAGATTGCCTCATCTGAGGCCGAACTCTTCCTGACAGCCTTCTATGAAAAAGCCTCTTTTGCATTTTCCAGAAATAAGACTGTAGACAGATTAAGCCATTAATCAGGTTTAGWCAGGAAAGAAATGTCTATTTTGATTGTGCTAACACCTAGTCCCATGACTGCAGATGGGTTCTTTCAGTGTGCAAAGATAAATGGCTGGTGATTTCTAAAAGGGAAGGAGTTTGGAGTAAGAAGTCTCACACTGGTTTCTTTCCTTGCTTTCTTCCTTTCTATTTCTTTACTTCCTTCCTCATTTTTCCCTCCACCCTCCCTCACTATTTACTTCTTAATTTTTACTATATGGATTATTAAAATTACTGCCCTTAGCCTTATTTTACTTTTCTATCAAATGCTAGTAAAAACCCCTCTCTGGACTATCTCAAGGACTTTTATGATGATGGCATGAGATAAATGATGTGCTATTTGGTAAACTATAAATTCCTGGGTAAGAATAAATATAGTGTTTATTCCTCCTGTTTATGTMTTGGATGGTTCTGGAGTGAGAATGTGTGAGAAGAAATGTTCACTGATGCGCCTACAGCTGATTGTCTATTTATGCAATCACTCATCAGTAGCACATATGTATTGTGAAACTGTGGTATAGACTCTGATATATTCCTGCACTTGTATCATTTATTTCATTTAATCTTCACATTGATCCTGGAAGATAGATATTATGTCTTATTTTCTTCAACGAGAATTTTGAAATCCAGAAAAGATGAATGGTTGGAACACGGAAACATTGCTAGGGGCAAGGCTAAAAGACCACAGTGGGTCTGTCTGACCGCAGAGAAGACCAGGCAGTAATCAATCTGAAGAAGTGGATTTTTTTTTTTTTTTTTTTTTTTGTGTTTGGATTTCTTGGCGAGACCCCCTACTGAGCAATAGGATCTTGTGCCTTTCATTAGCTCTGCAACTTTCCATTTGGTAAATGATATATTTCTTAACCCTTGTCATAAACTGGCAAAGTTTTAAAGACCTAACTTAAATCACTGCTTGACAAGAGGGCACGTTGGGTTCCTCGGTCAGTACCTGCCCATCCGCCGTCACCAAGGAGAATGCAGAGTCTGGGTGCACAGGATGGACAGCGGTACCTGTGAAACTGAGGGAAAAAAGAAAGCGAAGAAACCATTTTTGCAGTAGATGGTGTAAGGTCTCAGAGTCATTCCTTGTTACTATTTAAAAGGATATGTTCCCAAGGGCTGATGAATCAGGATCGGTGGAGTATTCAGTCAATCCTCCCCAGGGTCGCCGCAGTCTGCAGTCCATCTCCCTATAGTTCAGCCACCTGTCATTCGATGTGGGAGTCGCTGTTTAGATTTTCCTCCTGCTCTGGGGACCTCTCAGCCCCAGTTTAATCTGTGGATATAAACACCCAGGAGGAGGTAGCTGGGGAAGGGCCTTGCAGCTGTAGTTAACCTCACAGACAGTATTCTCAGAAACTCAGTTGCTACTGTATGCATCTATGACCTGTCGATTTAAGGACTGAATCTGTGGATTAAGAGAGGTAGCCTCTTCATTCTTTTGGGGGAGGAGACGAGAGTCAGAAGTCCTGAATGACTTGCCAGAGGCCCTGCAGGGACATCTTCCCAAGCCCGGCTTTGAACCTGGGTCTTCTGACTCAGATCCACATGGCTGTCACTCCGGCTTTGGGAACAGAATCAGCCCTCATCCAACCCACAGAGCCAACTGAGTTGTCTTCGGGTTTTCACTCTCATTGCCCKTGGCTCCCTGAGAGCCAGGGATCCAAGGTGTCCTTGTGAAGTCATTGATATTCCCATGAGTTGAAACAGAAGAATGGTCCAGCTGTTGGGCTCAGTTCTGACCCAAGCTGGACAGGCTGTGTGGTCTTACACCTTGCTATCCCCAGAACGGGCCTGTTAAATGCTGTGCTGTTTCTGTCTTGAGATTCCTAGTAATCTATTGAACAAGAAGCTCCGGATTTTCATTTTCCACTGAGCCCGGCAAATTAGGTAGCTGGTAATGCTTACAAGCTTATGACTGCTTACTTTCCTTAACTTCTTTCTACCCCAGTTTTTTTCATCTGTAAATAAACAAAAAAAAACCCAATACCAATACACATATCTTAATGTGTTCTTGGACAGAATGAATGAAATACAATAGCAAATGGGCTAACAAGCTTTTCTAAACACAATAAATCTTAACTTCTTTATGGCTGATCCAGGAGGGAAGTCGACTCATTAAAAAACATCTTATTAGGTCAGCACTAAAAAGGTCATACATCTGGAGTGTAGTTGCATGAGGAAGATGGTWATTTGGATTTTGCTATTGTGAGGGCAGATAAAATAATTGGAAAAAATGTCACTTTTYATGCTTCAGTTACTGTTGAACAAATATGTAGATTTTATTTATTTATTATTTGGTGCTGGGGATCAAACCCAGAGGTGTTTTACCACTGAGCTAAATCTCYGGCTCTTTTTATTTTTTTGTTTTGAGACAGGGTCTTGCTAACGTTRCTTAAGGCCTCACTAATTTTGCTGAGGCTGGCCTTGAACTTGTGATCCTCCTGTCTCAGCCTTCTAAATYACTGGGATTATAGGGGTGTTCCACTGTGCCTAGCTCTTCTAATGAAATTATTTCATTTAAGTTTCCTAAAAATCCCATGACATAATTAGTATTAGTATTTTGTAGATGATGAAACTGTGCTCACAGAATAATTGCAGTGTTAGAGAATCCCMMAAAATTGATMGTCATTAGATTCCACACAACTTGARAAGGGTCAAGCTAGATGGGTTGATCTAGATTTCCTGGAGAGGTGTGCAGTGAGGGTTTATCTCGGGCTCTTATTAGGGCTTTTGTTAGGGCTGTGTTGAGAGGGATTTTGAGGCTGCCTGGACTGGGTGGTGTGGAGTRCCCTGGTCATGCACTCTGCCTGTCTTGGGCTCTGGAAAGTGGAGGTGGTATGTAAGGCACATATTTGCCATCCTGAGGTACTGTTCTCACTTGACAGCACACATTAGTCAATGAGAAGTTAATATAGCTACAATTCATAGGGTCAGCTGTTGACAAAGCTGGCTTTTATTCTTAGTGCAAGGCAACTATGCGATGTAAAATACCAACCAACCAACAAATAAGAAGCAAAATATAAACAAAAAGAAAAAATGYTTGTTGACATTTCAGGCATATATGSTAAAAGTATTAGAAGAGTCTTCTTAAGTGSCACAAAATCATGACATAGGTTTCATACTTGAGTATACATCAGCATCTCTGGAAGGCTTTTAAACAGAKGTCGTTGAGACCTACCCACAGGATTTCTGGTTCAGTAGATCTGGGATGGAGCCTGGGCATTTGTAAGTTCCCAAATGAGGCTGATTCTCTGTTTTGTGTCTACCTTTTCAGGGCTGCCACCCATAGAGGTCTGCCTATTAGTACATTTTTTTTTAAACCATTGATCTGATTCCTCTTACAATGAATTATTCAAATGTGCTCTAAAAAATAAATCTGGAAGACTCAGTCTGCCAGCCCCCTGGGATGTGTTAATAAGATGTTCTGAAAATTGTATCAAGATTTATTTAATTAGTGTTCATTTTGGCAGCACATCTACTAACATTGGAACTTCACAGGGAAGATTAGCATGGTCCCTGTGCAAGAATGACATAGAAATTTTCAAARCCTTCTCTGCCTTTTGGAACACTTGCGTGTTGTTGGTGTGAATGTAAGATGGTGTACTGTTATGGAAAACAGCACAGAATTTCCTCAAAAATATTAAAAATTGAATTGTCAAACGATCCAGCAWTCCCACTTTGGGTGAATATACAAAATAATTCAAAACAGGATCTTGAAAAGATATTTGTGTATTATTCACAATAGCCAAGATGTGGAAGCAACTTGAATGTCCATTGCCAGATGAATGGATAAAGAAATGGGGTATTTACACACAGTGTACTATYATTTAACTCAACAAAAAGCAGGAAATATCTTCTCATGCTGCAACACGGATAAAACTTAAGTAAAATAATCCAAATACTGTGTGATTCCCTTTAGATGAGGTGGTCAAACTCAAAGAAACAGAAATCAGAATGGTGGTTTCTGGGGAGGGGCCAGGGAGGGAGAAATGGCAGCTGGAATTCAATGGTTCTAGAGTTTCAGTTTTAGAAAATGCATTAGTTCCATAAACCTGTTATAAAACAATATGAATACACTGAATTGTGTACTTAAAAATGATGAGGGTGGTAAGTTCTATTTTGCCACAATTAAAGTAACATTTTTAATATTTTCCCTGGATAGCATATCAATTCTTAGAGGGAGAGATGCCCAGAGAGGGYGGAGAACCACCATCTTGGTGGCCACCCTAGAGGGAGCTGGGACTTATCCTGACTCCAATGTCCCACTTCTCTGTGGGTAGCTTTTCCAAGTCAATAAAGTACTTGTTCTGGAACCAAYCCAGAGATTCTAATCTGGTCTGTGATGTGACCTGGTTAGGAAGGATTTTTAAAAGTGGCCCAGAAGGTGGCCAGAGCTGTAAAGCATGGCGGGATTGTCGATTTGCAACTTGTGAGAACGTAAAAAGAATCGCTGTGAGCACCTTGTCAAATTGTATGTGCCCAAGAGTACATTATTTTCCTCACTGCCCTGATAATTCTCATTACTGCCATCTCCTCTTTCCCTTCTAATGTGAGAAATATAGCATTAGATGACCTCTAAGGCCTTTTTCAGGTAGAATATGTCATGAAGCTTATTTTTAGGAAGCTGAGTTCATCACCAACGGGGGTTTGCATGTGACCAGGATTCCTAATGAGACTGGTGAGACAGTCTTAGTTCAGGCTGCATGTGTAGACATAGCTCAACTATCCTTTAAACCCTCAGTTAAAATATAGCATTTGGGACCTTTTTCATATACTTGTTTTCTACCTGTATGACTCTTTGAGAAGTGCTCAGATACAGTTCCCATTTTTTAATCAAGTTATTGTTTTTAACTATAGMGTTTTTGGAGTTTCTAATACATTCTGGTTATTAACCCATTGCCATCTGTATAGATKGTGAATATTTTCTCCCATTCCATAGGTTGTCTCTTTACTCTCTGGGTTGTTTCCTTTTCTCTACACMAAWKRAAA